GCGGCCCCCCCCGCAGCCGCGGCCCTGTCTTCGGTCCTGGCCCCCCTCCCTCACGTAGCATCGCTTTGCGCCCTCAAACTTGTGGGCCTAAAATAAGGGGTTCGCGTTCTGCGACATCGGAGCCTTTTTATTCCTCTCAGGGCCGGCTTTAAAAATACCGTGAAGAAGCACAGCGGGATGTGGAGGCTGCTGGCGGCCCACCGTCTCCGTTAGCGTGAGGCAGGGCTGGGGGGTGTTCTGACTGCCGGGCATCTCCCACCGACCTTTGGCTTAGAAACAGGTTTTGTTTCGACGTCTTCTGTTAATCTTAAATGTCCATGCTGGTGTTGGGTGCTGTAAAAACTTCTTGCAAACTCTGATGGTTGGTCAGCTCCCGTTAGGCCGCGGGCCCAAACCCCATAGCTTGTTCTGAGTGACCAGATCCAGTGACACGGGCTGCAGTGGAAACAACACGGCTTTTCCCTCAACTGTGAAAACTGAGTATGAACTGGAGCAAACAAAGTCAGTAGATGCTTGGATCTCTTTTTCCATCTGAGTGTGAGGGTGGGCTTTGTGTTAAGTTGTAGTAAGCATCCCTGAGAGACTTATTTTTGGAATAATTCTTGCCTTTAGTGTGACAATAACAGCATGTGTGACGAAAAAGAAAATGAAACCTCCGGTAGTTTCCACAGTGTTACATGGGGGTGGGGGGGGAAGGCGTTTCTAGCCTTTCTTACTGTCTCCCAGATTTTTCTGAACGTTCCTCATCTGCTTTCTGCAGTACCTTTAAAAATAAGTCATCATTAGGTTTCAGGGTGGTGAATCAGACATAAATGAGCATGTTTCTTCTCTCACCTGTGTGTCATCAGCTCAGGTATATGATTTTCAAATTGCTTTATTGCCAGTAAGAATCTATGTGGATAATCAGTTTTCATAATAAAACCATAAAATGTTATTGATAAAAATGTAAGTTCTCAAAGTAATTTGTACATGTTTATGATCAGTAAGTTGATGTATTACTGGCAGAGGAGAGAGATATATCTTAAGCGGAATTGTGAAATACAGACACATGGAATTAAAGCAGAGGAACTTCCTTATTGCACTGAACTACTTTAAAAAAAAACAAAAACAAACAAACAAAAAAAACCCAAACTGTTTCATAGGTGTTCTTGCCTTCATGCTGGTAGATTGGTCTAGAATATAATATGGGTTTTAGCTATTTTTCCATGAGAATAAGCTATAACTTGCCCTCATCCTTCAATACATCACTCTGGAGGCTAGTACAAGAGGGCAGGGATTCAAGCCTATTGCTTTTTTCCCTTGTCCTTTTCACAGATCTCCAGGATTATTTTTCCCACGTGGGATTTTTTGTATAGCAAAGGCTGACACTGCGTGACTGACTGCTGCCCTCCAGAGAGGCTGGGCTGTGCTTCAGCTTGAGAGCATGCAGGTTCAGCTTGTTTGTAACAGAGCTGGACACCTCAGTGAAGCCCGTTTACACGGGTGATTTTGGTTCCTTGGTCTAGTGTCACATTTCATGGGCTTTGTGTGAACAACTTCCAGTTGATCATTCCTGAAAATTCAGGAGATGGAAATTGAAAGCCCTTGGTAGCATTCCTGAAAAATCTTTTGCTATTGTTTAGCATTCATGCTGAGTGTGCGATTCATATGCTAGATATGAATGTGTATTGCACCACCAGAGCCACTTTTATTAGTCCCTTGAAGCCAACCAAGCGTGGGCTGTCTTTGTGTTTGGCTGTGAACGTAGAGCGGTGCCAGTTCTGCCTTAAATAGCAACAATTACAGTGTAACTCCTCCCTGGGGGTGTCATCTGGGGTGTCAGTTATACTTTTTATTTGTGTTCCTTTTCTTACCACTAAGAATACAAAGAAGAAAGGTAAGTAATACACTTGCTGATTAATTAGACTCTTTCTGAAACTCCATGTGCTAGAAAAGTATTGGGTTAATGACTCCGTGTGCTAGAAAAGTATTGGGTTAATGACCCCGTGAGAACAAATTTAAATAGAGACTGCAGGAATTGAAACAAGATTGACTTCCCCAGGAATTTTGTGAGAACATTCTTTATTCTCTCTTTTTTTTTAGTTGAGAAAGCTTTTTAGACGCTTGGAAATGTTTCAGTGAATTTTGTGGATTGCAGCAATCCCAGGTGGGAAAACAGGAAGACAGGCATGCTGAGGAGGAGAGAACGGGTGATTCTGCCATAGCCCAACAGTCACATGCAGGAAGTGCAGTAGGTCCCCCTCGTGCATTATTTGTCCAATATACCTTATTCACAAAAGCAGCAGTTTTCAGTCTGTGCTGAGCATGGATGCCACTGCCGTATACTGTTTCCCTTGATGCTGGAGATCTGTCTGTCACACTTGGTAACACCATGTGTTTCCAGGACACTTTTTCTTTTATTATCGTTTTTCTTCATAATGCCACAGCCCCAAAATGCTTCTAAACATTATGGGAAGTTCTGAGTGTTTTAATTTGGGGGGGGCAATCTTGTGTTCGACTACCCCTGTGCTTTGCCCTGTGGCCTGTGCAGCATGCAGGCAGCTCCTGGATCAGTACAAGAGATCTGCAGACAAGTCCTCTGCAGTCATGCCAGGAATGTTGCTTTGGGCAAAACGTAACCTTAAAGTAGTATTAGAATACTTCACTTAAGTCTATGTTGAATGTGTCTAGTACAGGGTAGATGTGTTTTACCCAATTTAGGAACTGGAAAAGCACTAACCATTTGGTAAAAGTGATCCTTGGCCATTACAACAGCTCAGCTTCTGAACACGGAGCAAATTGATTTGTTACCAATTCCCCACTGGCTAGTGAGGGTCCCTTTAATCCAGAGGTTAACGGGTATTTTTCGTTTGTTTGGGGTTTTTTAATCTTGCTGACCAGAGAAGTTACTTAGGAATAGTTGCTGGAAGTTTTAAGATGAGTGTTTTTCTGGGGACATAAAAATATGCCCAGATAGATGTTACAAGCTGTATTAACACAAAAGTGGCTGGGGTTCTATAATTCTGCACAGTATTGGCAAAAAGGAAAAAAAATGTAACGGGCAGAGCACAGGTCTGGGACAGCAGAACCAGCATTGTTGTCCTTACCCTGTTTCTCTTTTCACCTGTGCCTGTCCTGGTGGTGGCTGTTGAGCCCCACATTCAGTCTGAGGATGCTCCTCTGTTCACAGGACAGCATTAGCCTTCGGGAAAGGGTACTGGGCTCCAGCCAGGCAGTGACTATTGTGTGGTGGGTGTGCTGGGGTAACACTGCGTCCAGCTGGCAAGATCCAGCTGCTACAGAGTAGTTGAAGTAATGGAGGCATCCCTGCTGAGCTGCTTTGGGACAGAAATTCCTGTAAGAGGCACCACCCCAGCACTTCACTGGCTTTTTCGTATCGCACCCTGCCTGGTGCTCAGCTGTAGCTTTATCCAGTCCATAGTTTTGCCCATGTCTTCTTGAGAGGAAGACAAGAAAAATCACTCTTTCTGTGTCCACTGAAGGAGAAGAGGTTCCTTCTGGTCCCTACAGAGTACAGGAAGACAGAGCTGGTATTAAATTCCCCATCCAGGACCTGCTAATTATTGCCTGTGTTAACATGACTATTTTCTTCACCCCTAGCTAAACCTTCCTGTAATACAAATAAAAATATGTGAGGTCAAGATTGTTCTTTATCTCTGCTCTACGAATGATTAATCCAGGTGTTGTGGTTTACCCCCAGCCAGTAACTAAGCACCACGCAGCTGCTTACTCACTTCCTCCCCACCCAGTGGGATGGGGGGAAGAATTGGGGAAAAAAAAGTAAAACTCATGGGTTGACATAAGAACAGTTTAATAGAACAGAAAGGAAGAAAATAATAACAATAATAAAATGACAATAATAACAATAATAAAAGAATTGGCATACACAAAACAAGTGATGCACAGTGCAATTGCTCAGCACTTGCTGACCGATGCCCAGTTAGTTCCTGAGCAGCAATTTGTCCCCCAGCCAAATCCCCCAGTTTATATACTGGGCATGACATCACATGGTATGGAATACCCCTTTGGCCAGTTTGGCTCGGCTGTCCTGGCTGTGTCCCCTCCCAACCTCTTGTGCCCCTCCAGCCTTCTTGCTAGCGGGGCATGAGAAGCTGAAAAATCCTTGACTTAATCTAAACACTACTTAGCAACAACTGAAAACATCAGTGTGTTACCAACATTCTTCTCATACTAAATCCAAAACATAACACTATACCAGCTACTAAAAAGAAAATTAACTCTATCCCAGCCAAAACCAGGTCAACGGGGATAAAGGTAACACATCCTGTGTCTGAAAAGTATTTCTCTTTGCCCTTTTATTGTGGCGCTATTGCGATTCAGGCCAAAAGCAAAGCATGTTTAAATTCATGGAAGGCAACTGAGTATCCTGGAGATGAAATAGAAATAAAGCAGCGTGTTCTCTAGCAGGTACCACGAAATGGACTTCTCTTTGTTGTTTTCCTTTCTCTTTCTGAGCCTTTCCGGGGGATACAGTTCCTCGCACAGCCCGTTCGGGGGAAAGGGAACCGAAGCGGGCGGCCGCGGCGGCAGCCCGCGGCTATCAGGGCCGGAGGCGGGATCGGGGCACCGGGAGGAGCCGCCCCCGGGGCACGGGTGCCGGTTCCCGGGCCGCGCACCGCGGACGCCGAGGCAGCTGGCGCGGGCGAGCCGGAGCCAGGCAGCCCTCTCCCGGCAGGGGGGCAGGGAAGGGGCCGGGGCCGGGGCCGGGACCGGGGCCGGGGCCGGGCGTCTCCGGGGCTTGGGGCCCCTCGCCGCTGCGGCTCTGCGGTTGCGGCAGCGGTTGGGAGGGCCGGGGGCGCCGGGGGGGGGCCGGAGCTTGCGAGGGTCCGAGCAGGGTCTGCTCCAGCT